GCTGAATGCTGTTAGAGAAATGAGAGCGATTATCACTCTCCGGTCGCCCACACCATGTAGGCTCTCATCTGGAGGTACCTGAAAAGGAAATTGGGTCAGAGTCGGTCTTAGTAACCTGAGAGTGTGACCACAGTATCCAAGGGAAATCTGCATGTGACTGGCCACACACAACCTTATCGTGTATCCGTGAGATTCTAGAGAGTCCTTGCCGATTCCACATTTCTGAATATTTACTGCAATGTCACTCGTTCGAAAATAAGGTTCAGATGCTGGCGATGAGATTCTCTGTCCGGACTTGCCATCAAACAGTCATCAAAATACGCATGTGCGAGTTTGAGACCTCGATAAACATCATCTGGAAACCTTTGGGATGTTTGGGCAGCATTTGCTTATGCCGAAACTCTTGCGAAAAATTCTTAAAGACCGAAAGAATTAATTATAGAGGTTCTTTAGGGACCATGTGCAGTGGTGATGCCCATGGTCTGTTCGACGATCGAATGATTCCTAAATCTTTCATGTGATCGAGTCCGTTTTTGTAAACTTCAGCCTTTCGGTGGCCAGTTGGCGCGCTTTCGAAAATAAAGGTGGTCCTGTAGTTGTGATATGATGTGTAGCGTTGCTGGGTACACACGGCAATTTCGGTTGAGTTTGGCATATCTCAGAGTACTTACGAAGTAGTGTTTGATAGAATGGGTCTAACGTGTGCTTAATTATGACTGAAGATAATCTGCAAACAGAAAAAGAAGTTATGCAAACTGATATATAGGCGTTTCCATCTACCAACCTTCGTTTGCACGTATCGATGAGTAGATTATATTGTTGTAGGAGGTCTACACCATAGAAACATCTGCATCAACGAGGATCGAGTGCATGGGTTTGCGTAAACCCACGTTAAAGTAAACGTACCTTTTACCGAATGTTGCGATAGGCTTTCCGTTTGCCGCCTGTAAGTTTAGAGCCGATTCGTGAAGCCGGTCGTTGGAATTCGCTGGGAGAACGCTAACTTCTGCGCCAGTGTCGACGAGGTAGCGAACTCTCGTTGTCACATCTGTGACGTATAACAGACGGCTATGTTCGCCGGCTACGGTTGCTGTTAACGCGTGCCGGCTTGGAAGTTTCCCGAGTTGTTTTTCGAGTCAGTCGGTTTCGTGTTGGGAAAATTGCAGGGTTTTCTGCAATTTCTGGAAGACTTTCCATACTGGTTGTGATACCAGCACCAGTCGGGATTACCCGTACCTCGTGGTCTAGAGACAGATCGCTTACGTGAAATGCTTCTACGTGGGGTGTGTGATCGCATACGGTCGTTACGAAGATTAAGATAACGCGTGAGTGATGTGATGTGTAACGTTGCTGGTTACACACGGTAGTTTCTGTTGCGTTTGCTGAATCCCAGGATCGGCAGATGCAGCCAGCTCGCCTAAGGCGTTGTTCTGAAACGAGACCAGAACCGCTTTCACTTGTTGGGGAAGTTTATACAAGAAAAGTTGTTTGAATAGGCCTTTGTCGAGAGTTCTTGGGCCTATAACCTCTCTCATCCTTCGCAACATGTCTGTCGCAGAACCGTGCTGCAGGTCTATGTTATTTAAGAGTTGGTCTAGCCTTTGTCGATCGGTTAGGTCTCCTCATTTAAGAATAGAACGTTTAAGCGTTTCGTAAGGTTCAGAAACATCACTAGTAAACACACTAGGTGTTACTTACCTGTTGAATTTGCGCGGTAGTGCCTTGACTACTGCGAGGAATTGTGCACGTGTGTCGTTCACGCCGTGCTCGTGGAACTCGGCTTCTGCGTGACAGAACCAGGCTTCGATATTGTCTGGCCAGAAAAGCATAAGCTGAAACAAAGGTGGGGACAAAGTCTTAAGCTTAAGTACTTTGGCTGTCTGTTCAGTCATGATGAAATATGAAGTAAGATAATGAACTAGGGAAAAATATTTATGTCCAAAAAGCACGGAAAAAATATCACAATGTATAAAAATTAAAATAAAGCAATGATATATAGAATCCCAAAATTGAAAAGACTTGTAGCGTGGCGTCGAGTCGCGGTAGACTATGAACACCGCTACGGAGAAACACGTGCCAAATAAATCCATAAAATCCATGAGAAACCAAATATCAGAATGCAGTTAATGGACCAAGTCGAGACACATTTGCTGGCGATCTCGTGGTATCGAAAGGATACCGAGATCGTGCCAGGATACAAGCATGGTAAAAGGACGTAACCGAATTCGCGCGAAGTCACAATCAAAGTATGTGAATAATAATGGAAGCATAATATAGCTGCCATTAGCACGGTTAAACAAAGAGCAAATTAAACAAGCACAGGTACAATTGGTTATAATAATAATTGTTTTCATTAAACCAATGGTGCTCTCGTGATAAAAGTAAGTCATTACAAGAGCCCCACTAGAAAGGGTTTACACTTTCGATAAATAGCGGTTTGAATCGTGGGACTGATCGACTGACGAGCGATTGTAGGACGGAAAGATTGGCGAATAGGAAGGCGATCGCTGATCTTCGAGTTGCCAACGAAGGTCGTTTTCGGAGAACGGTACCAGGAGCGATGTGCTGTATTTGTTGCTCGAGTTGGCATGCCACACCAGAGTGGTTTGTATCCAGAATCTGAAGATGGCGTTCGTAGGGGTCGGGACCAGAAATGCTGCAGACGTAGGACGAAACCACGTTGAACCGATGAACCAGAAGCGACCGTAACGACCAAGTTCGAGACCAAGCGTATGCCAAGCATTCGAAACCGATATATCGACTGAGTGCGTTGACAAGAGCGTGGGTGGCAAATCCAGCTTTCGCCAAAGTTGGCTGAAGTCGACGGAACCAAACGGAGGTGGTCGAAGGCGTGGGCTCAGGAAACAAAAAGAAAATCAAAAAGGAGAAGAGTGTAGCATGCGTGTAGTATGGGAATAATCCTACACCGTATCGGTTGTTGACTGTGCGACTATTCGCGAAAGCGTACGGGTAACCGTACTCGGCGACCAGAACGTGAGACGGCAGTCTCTTTGGCGTCGCGTGAGTCTGCAATCTCATCCGAAGTCAAGGGCCGCGTGGTCTGCTGATCTGGACGTGAGACTGCCGTCTCGTCCGTAGACGGTGCAGATGACGCGTGTTGTTGACTGGGACGTGAGAATGAGGTCTCAGATGTATCTAGCGTGGGACCTGAAGATGGTGTGAGGATCCCGCCAGTAGTTTTGATAGGTCTAGCATTGAATCTCAGGTTATCAGATAAAGCACTGTCATCGACGTGTGCTGGTTTGAGATGATCAATGCTGAGGATCTCGACGCGGCCATGTCGATCAACCTTGAAGGTCTTTTCGTGACGAGCAATCGCGTGAAAAGGGCCTTCGTAAGGCTGTTGCAAAGGTTCGCGTACCGAATCTACTCGTATGAAAACATGTGAACAGGTAGATAACTCACGAGGGAGGGAAACCTGTCGATGCTGTATTCGAGTTGACACCGGAGGCAGCGTTCGCATAAATACAGACAGTCGACGGACGTAGTCTGATTTACCGAAATCATATCTGCTCCGTGGTGTGAAGAATTCTCCGGGCAGACGCAATGTCGTGCCGTATACAAGATCAGCGGCGGAACATTGGATATCTGCCTTCAAGCTCGTTCCGATGCCTAAGAGAACGAGCGGTAAGGTTTCGTGCCAGTTGCCGTTTTCGTGTACTCGTACAGCACTTTTAAGTTGGCAGTGAAACCGTTCAAGTTAACCATTTGGTGCTGGGTGGTAGACGGTAATGCGTATGCGTGTGCATTCCGTACCAAGCAGCCGAGTCAGCGAGGAGAATAGTCAATAGGGGAAAATTTCTCGAATAAAGCGTGGAATTTACCGTCACGCGAATAAAAAGTGACAAGGATTCGGTACACGTACATGGGAGTCTATTATATTAATACCATTCTTATCGTTATCTGTCATGTCGCGTATATTATATATTGAAAGGTAATATGAAGATATACGACAGACGTGGATAGATAAATAATAAACTCACCGAATTGGCTTCTTTGGAAGATTCGACCAGATGGTGCGGCGTGTTCCAGAATTCGGCTCACCAGTTGTAGCGTGGCGTCGAGTTGAGATTAACAATGAACACCGCTACCAAGAAACACGTGCCAAGTAAATCAGAAGACGAAGGTCGAACGTAACCAGATTTATTTCGTTGGCGACCTCGTGGTATTGAACGAATACCAAGATCGTGCCAAGGAATGGTACAAGTGGAAACTGGAGGAAGGAGTACGCGCGAACAGTACCAAAAACCGCGGAAGGTAATGGAAGCACAAAATGGCTATAATTAGCACAGCTAAACAAAGAGCACGTTAAACAAGCACAGGTACAATTGGTTATAATAATAATAGTTGTTTTCATTAAACCAATCGTGTTCTCGTGATAAAAGTGAGTCCCCACAGACTCACAGTTTACGATTTGGTGTACCAGATCACGTTAGGCTCACCAATGAAGATGGCAAACGTATTCAGTGTCTTACAACGCTTTTACCAATAACACCTTCTAATATAACTCGTGCCCACAAAGAGAAATCAAAAGACAGAATGAAGGAGATCAGAAGTTGTATTTGACGATTGCCAATACATCGGAATTGTCTGATCTAGTCTGGCTAGCGATTGCAATAGATGTTGAGCACGGCGTTCCCACACGTGATCTGGTGCTGATGCGTGACCGAGCGCCTTCAGCTAGGTGAGTCCATTAAAACATGTGGTCAGCATCTAATGTCGAAAACTTACAGAGCTATTTATTTTGAGGATTTATTTACAGCTGAAATGTATTTGGATTGTAACATTCATGTAGTTAAACAACAATTAAAACCTATAAGATTCTTTTGGTATAATGGAATCTGACACTTTTCAGGTTTTATCAACTACTTATTAATCGGATCTAAGACCAGTCATTCAATGCTGAACTATTGAATCTGTTTTAACTAATTCACATACAGGTTACTATAGCCTCAGTGTTTGTTAAAATATTAAAACTAATGCCTATTTCTAATAATCCTCATTATTGTCATGAGCAAATCCAAATACCTCCAGCTCTTCCAGACATTTTAAAGCAATTCACCAAAGCAGCTATCAGAACGCAACCTAAAGACGTTCTCAAGTGGTCTTATGCGTAAGTAGTTCCAATCTGTAATTTGTGATTCCATAGATATTTTAAAGCGATGGCACAAAGTGAAATACCACCAGTTAAAGAAAGACTTGAGCTTCCAATAAGTACACAAAAAACAGACACAGGTTTAACACCAGGAATTTTAAGAATTTTAAATAACCAGGTTGGTTCAGTGGAATGAATCCTATGACCTTCATTTATACAGTACTTTTTGGTATATATGATACTAAATAATTTATACTATTACTACCTAAATATTCCGCACCGAGTTTAAATTTATAGAATGATATCTGCCGAAATTAACACTCGATTTTTAAGACTAATAGATGGTAAAATTAAAATTTATTGTTTAACAGGTGCATTCAAGATCTCGCATACGAACGTTTCAAAGATGATTTTCTGTGTCGCTTTATAAGATAAATTTATACGAGCTACATAAAACCACTTGTGTTCCTTTCTCTCCCATCTTTAGACTAATGAATTGTTTCAAGTCATTAACCATACCCGGTATAATTTGTTCGACCATTCGAACCCAGTAATCGTGTAGGGCTTTGTAGATGCTTTAAAAGTTTGTCGGTACATTTTATTACTGATAAGCAGTTCTACAGAAAATGACGCTGACTATACGTTTTAGAGATTTGGAAAAGGGAGTAGAAGAAAAAAAACCAAAAAAGACATTATTCCATACCATGGGGTAGGAAACAAATTTGTCGTATTTGTATACTCACTGTTCCAACTGGAGAAAAGCAGTCCGTGGGTGTCTAGATATATATGTTCAATTCTTTCACGGTTGTCCACGGATAACAATACATCCCCTCACATGGTAGACTATTTCTGAGTCCACTGATTTATATCTCAAAGTTGGTTTTAAACATGTAGGTGGATTCGTTTACCATCTTTCTTCACATCTTCAACTTTAAAATTATACTTTTTTATTTTACAAACTTATTCCTTCTTTTCCAAAAGTATCTCTACTACTTTCGTATTCACCTCGATAATTTAACTTGGTATGCTGATATAATGTGGGATTTCAACAGCTATATGCCCTCAAATGCCCTGGTACAGCCGAGAGTGGGGAGAGTCCTCTCTTCCTCTCAAAATGCTCCCACACGGCCACGCGTGTATAGTCTCTGCCAGGGAAGTCCTACTCATTTCCTTCTCGTGGCGGGGGTGTTGTTTACGAACTTGAGAGGACGAAAAGCGATTGTCCAGCGCTTTAACCTGGTTGGTGGACATGGAGAGTCTAACTAAGGGAGTTGGAAAACCTGATTCCAAACCAATGATGCACATGGGCTCCAGTATCCTGAAGGAACAAATGGAGTATGAACCAATCGTTGGTCACTGGCTACCATGGAACTGCAATCCCTTACGATGCTCCACTGCCTTGTGGATCAGGCCCTTAGGTCGAAGGCTCCGGGTGTGGCCCCCTAAGAAAACCACGCGTTTCGGTTTGGGCACCCGGGCAGTATCACAGCCCTCATGCATATTAAATGAGATTTGTGTGGCGCATATGTATTTGGTACCCCCTTGTACCAGTATTTGTGTGTTCAAATAAATAAACAGGCATATATATTATGCTTGGTTCCAAGTTGGTGATATTTGACTCATAGTGAGAAAAACTTTTGACAATTAAGTGTTCACTATTTTATTGATATTTGAGTAGGCTTTTCTGTTATGATCCGGATTACATAATATTTTGTAAATGGTGAAAATGTCGTTTTTCTTTTGTTTCCGAGTACAACATTAGGTCACTAGCTGATTTTATGCTATATGTCCCCTAAACCTAAACGTATCTATTTGGTTAATTTTCCTAAGGATCCGTATCAAATTTTAGTAAAATTAATGCAAAATGTTGTGGATTTTGAACTGAAATCAGATGTAAATTCCAGAGATTTTGAAAAATAGTTACGAAGTTTGTATACCCAAGTTTTTTAAAACGAATTGAAACGTAATGAGGGCTTTAGTGAATATCTTAAGTAGTTACTTCTTGTCTGTATAGTCTCCATTGAGAAACTTCAGCGTTGCTTTATGAAAATATGCATATCAGCTGTTATCAATTTTTCAATTTCCAAATCATATAGGTATGTGAACGTAACGTAAACCAATATTTCTTTTCTATGCTTTACTAGTATTTGTGTCTGAAATTTATCCATTGTTTTAAGTAAAAATCACCCTACGTACTTTATTTTATCTCACTACATACTTTAATTATTTCTCTAGTGGTAAGCACTCGACGATCTAATACACAAAAGGAGGGTAGTATTTGGCTGTATTGATCTGGGATTTTTAATTTTAACTACATCGGAACAGATTTGCCAACTTTTCCTATAATTAGCTTTAAGCGATTCCGTAACATAACATATAGTGTTGTCTTTTTCTTTTCAAAGCTTGCGTCATTGAAAATCGTATCGTTATCTGTCATTGAAGAAAAATGGAAAGATTTGTCGCTACCGGTTGAACGATTTCAAGAAATTTGTCGCATAGGAAATTTCGCAAATATCTGTGAATGGAGGTGGTTTTTAGCACTTGCTGCTTCTGATTTATGTGCCGTAAGTCTTTTTACTTTATCTCATACAGAGTTTACCATAATTTTTGTCTTAGTTAATCCACTTTCTTTATCATTACTGATTTATCCCTAAAAGATTTTTCGACTTTTTAAAAAGACCAAAGAATCTTGTTTAATTATTAAGACATCTTAATTTATCACTGATTACACCTCACTACGTACCTTGAATAAGTCGTAATAACGTTTGGTTACATGTTAGCTAATCAATCATCGCATAAAATAGAAAACAATATATTCAGCACTCCTCAACCAGCTATCAGCTTAGAAGTAGACTTTAAAATTCCAAGCAAACCATCACTGGTCGGCACATGTATATCTGTCAATTCTGATATCATTTCTGTAGGAAACTAGCCTTACATTGACATAAAACTAATGACACAAGCGTATTATAGCAACTTCACTACATATCAATAGTTTATTTCTTCGTAATAAGTGCTAGACAAAATAATTTCAGAACACTTCTTTTCCTTCACTTAGATTTAGAATTAGTTTCTTGGATGGTACAGATTTACTGGATCCTTAATATAGAAATAAAAGACACTTTTATGTTCATATAACTGAGCACTAAACTGATACCGAGGCATATTTTAAAAATTATCCAGTTAAGATAACTCGCGTATGACTGCATAGATACCATTTTTCAACTTCTATGATTGTATTAATTAATCAACAACTAATAACTTATTTTATACTTTCTAGCATATAGTTCTGAATCTAGTTAGCTGACTTAATTTGCAACGTGGAAGTTAAGCTAGCCATCTCAAGGAGCTTAATAACAATGCAATAGACTCAAATGTATTCTCTATGAACAATCTCTTTTTGGTTGTACATATGTGATGTGAGCTACTTATATCCACATAAGTAGTATATAACGATGGTCTGGAAGAGAGTGTATTTCAGTAGAAGATGGAGAAGGAAAGGATTGGAACTGAAAATGCTAGAACAATGAAATCTGAGACGATGGACTAGTATTTGCAAAAGGAACATTCGAGTTTGAGACAATTAATTAGTATTTTGCAAATTAAGTATTCACTGTATGGTTCTCAGATTTTAATGGGATGTTCTGTAATTTATGTTCAAATACATTCGATTGTCCCCACTTGTGCTCTTGTCCACTACACATATACTTCGCTCTTACGTATCAACAATTTTTCTCAATTTCAATGAATCTATCTTTATTATTGTATTAGATTCATTATTTGGGTAATCCAAATTTATCAAAACAAATAATATCTAATTTACTAATTTTACAGCTTGACCTCGACTCAAGTAATTTGTTCTCCCTAGTAAATTGCTTTATTAATATTATCTAGGTGTATGACTAAACACAATGAGGTAAAACGATATATTCACATGCAATCGGATCGATATGACTTACTGTTTAAAAATAGGAACACTAATGGGTAGTAATACATTAAGCTTAAGCTTATGTGATGTCTTTATGAAATGTTAATTTGGTAAAATCTCGAAGTCCAGTCATATTGTTTGTTCGCCAATACGTGTTCACTTATTTATTTGAGCATAAATATTGGTCCAAAGGAGCACTAGATACATATGCGCCATTCGATTTGTGTTAGGGCTGTGGTACTGCCCGGATGCCCAAACCGAAGCAGGTGGTTTTCCTGGGGGGCGGCACATTCGTAGCTTTCAATCTAAAGGTCTGGTTCGCAAGGCAGTGGAGCAACGTCAGGAGATGCAGTCTCATGGTAGCCAGTGACCAACAATAAGTTCACACGACATTTGTTCCTTCAGGATACTGGAGCCCATGTGCATCATTGGTTTGGAATCAGGTTTTCCAACTCCCTTAGTTAGACTCTTCATGTCCACCAACCAGGTTAAAGCGCTGGACAATCTCTTTTTGTTCTCTCAATTTCGTAACCAACACTCGCCGCGAGAAGACAGTGAGTAGGACTTCCCTGGCAGTGGTTGTATACATGTGACCATGTGAGAGCATTTCGAGGATGAGAGCTGACTCTCCCCACCTTCGGCCGTACCAGGGCATTTGAAGGCATGCTTTCTTAAGAAGTAATTAAAATGTCATATATTGTTTTCTAGACCCATTTACGTAAATTCAGAACCGCAGTATTCCTTCTATTTATATTGAATGAACTACAGCCTCTTCCTGCGCGCAAACGTTCGGTGAATATGTTGAGAAATACACTACCATAAAGCCAAGTACTCTGAGAATTTGTCGCAAATTTATTACTTTTCAAATTTCTAAAGCATTAACTTAATACCCTACATCCACAAGGTATCAAGATATTTTAATCATACTATTATGTATTTCATAACTATGAACTACATTCAACCACATAACAATTACTATTATTGATGTAAGGCTATCCATCCTATTCAGCTATATGTAGACTCACTTACTTACACCACGAATCATGTTTACTTAGCGAGTTCCAGTGATATTTCCTGGTTGCTAAAATTTTAGTAGATCAAGCACGGTTCATGTCTATGATCTATTGGTGTCCAAAAAATGAACCATATTCCCATTTTGAACCTTGAATAAAACAGGATTTACTTTATTTTATTAAGCTTAAGAACTCGTTTGCACTTTTTTGTTATACTATTACAGACATTATCAGAAACTTTGAAATTGATATGTGAAATTTTAACGGCAGATCCTGAAGGTGGGGCAGCTAGATTACCATTTGAGCAATGGCTAGAATTCTATCGTTATCTTGCGAAAATCGATGATATACCAGATGAACATATTAATAAAGTGTTAGCTCATTTGAGTTTTGATATGTAAGTTTGATTTTTTATTGCTTTGATAAATTAGACTTAGTATGTAGAGATAACGGTAGCATAAGTTGATTCTCTTACGAAAAGTTTCCTTTCCTAACTGGTATCAGTTAGTTACAACGTAGGATCAAGTACATATATCCATCGGTCCAAGTTGCCATACCTCATTAACACAACAAGATGAACACCGGATTCATAAAAGTAGTTAATTCAGTGGTGGCAATATATAAAAGAGAGATTGCATATAAGGATATAGTACAGGAAGAAATAATCAGTTCGTAGAAAGAAAGATATGAAGCGATTTTAATCTCTTAGTTTAAGGGAAGACAGAGAGTATATACACCAACGCCATTGTGATTGATTCTGAGCCATGTCACCAAGAGTCTCCAACCATTGGTTACGACAGTCACGCGGATTCTAACCAAGTAGTCTGCATCTCCCAACATGGTTCAGACTAGAAGTTAGTGACTTCAAGTAGATGCCACGTTTTGATTTGGCCGCCCCCAACTTTCTTCCAACCATCTCCAAGACCGGTTAGCATTGCACGTCGTGGTAATCGGTGTTCAGGCATACGTAACACGTGGCCCAACCATCTCAGTCGATAAAAATTCACAACCTCATCAACTGATTTACCATCATTCCCTAATACCCAGCGTCTAACCTCACTATTACTTACCCGGTGATCCCAGCAGACGCCAACTGGTGTATACTTGAATAACACTAGATGTGGAAATTACTAGGTGATTATATTTGAAAGATATTATCAAAGTCTCAAACTATGACGAAACAACGGTATAATTTTAAAATACTTCCCTAAGGTCGATTCCCAGTGAAAAACCTTTCAAACTGGATTGATTTCATAATCTTAATAACATTCACCAGACTCCACAACTCAAGTATTGAATTAAGCTTTATGAACCACACAGCGAAATTTTTAAAATTCCTGAGATAAATCTAAAGATAAAGAAACAATATTTAACTTCCTTCACAAAAGGGACAGAGTAATGCAGACCAGAAAATATCTGTATTTCTTTTTATATGACCAGTGAGCGCCTATATTTGATACGGTTTCAGTCTCTTGTCGGGATCAACTACTACACATGTCGACGTAGAAAGAGTGACAAAAGAGTAAGAAATAACAAACGAACACAGTGAAAGCACTAAGGTTATTTTGATTGGGGAGATTTATCTGAACAGAGAGATATGAGAGATGACCCTGACTTCATTAAGATTAACAGTCAAATATTTATGCTTAAACCATTTTTGACCAATTAAAATCTACGGGTAGGAAGTTATATGTTTTCAAGTCTGTATATTTCATCCGTATTTAATCATCAAGTTTTTTACTAGTTTCACCAGATACAGCTGTTTCTCCATCTGTCATATATGAGGTGTACCTCAATTCCAATATATTTGTCGCTCGTTATGCCAACGGATGAGCTAAAAACCTAAATTTGCCAACAGCAAGTGTTTCTGTCCGAGTTTGTAATTCCTTTAAACTAGTTCGTAAGTACAAATAATAGCGTTTATAATACGGAGAACAAAAAAAGTAATTAAACGAAAGCTAAGTGTAAAATCTAACCATAATCACGCTTCGATGAAATCTGAAAAAATTAACTGTGATAAAAAAACTCTGAAACTTATTTTTCTCTGTGACCTGATTCAATTTGAACACAGCTAACAAATATGGACCAAAATAAACAAAAACCATTCCCTCCGAATTTATAATGATTTAAATGACTTTTTTAAATAATGTTTTTCTTAAAATCTACTTCTGGTTTTCATTTTCACATTTTCTTTCAAAAGTGCAACTCAAAATGGTGCGATTGCACCTCGTAATTTTATGCATAAAAATTGTCCGAAATTAAATCCGAGCGAAGAAGTAAATTTACATGCTTTTATAGAATCAACGGTTGAAGACTAATAATTTCCGCATCAATGAAACACCATGCATATGTATGTACATCAATAGGAAGAGTATTCCAAGTATTTTACATCTACGTTCAACTTATTTTCTGTTAGTCTTATTAGAAAGGTAAACTAAGATAAATTGATGTTGGTTAACATAAATTCAATTGTCAATGAACGAAATGGAATTTTGTAAATTTTGAGAATTTCAATTGTTTTGTTTATATTTCCAATTATATTATGGTTGACACTATATTTTCGGGACTGAAAATTACTTCTTAATAAATGCGTATATTTCATGCAAATTGTTATGCGTTTGAAAGTTTTCTAGTGACCTTCACAAAATGAATATAGAATTTAAAGGAATCCAGTTCTATTCCCTGACTTTTCATTAGTTCCCTAGTTAATGGAGATTGACTTCGGAATACACTAGCATGTTGGAAAGAGTCACTTACTGGTAATTTATGGATTCCTCGAAACTCCAATAGGAAGCTATAACCTATAGAACCGACCAAGCTGAGGGCGATGACCAGCAATTCACATATTACTTGAAATGAAAATCGCAGTAGTTTAGAACGGAAAACGTACAAACAAGTTACTTGGGAAGTGTTAACATTTTCACAAACAACTCGCAACCCTAAAAAATGTATGCATTTTTATATCGCTAATAATGCTGTCCTTACAGCTTTGAAAACAAAATATTACTACCTACTAAACTCCGATAATTTAATATTGAATATCAGAACACGATATGTGCTTACGATTACTGGTTATTCAAGCTCTAATGTTCACGACTTTAGCAACTGATGTTTCAGAGTGAACACAAATACAAGCCATCCATGAGCTAAATAGCCTTTGAGAATTAGGGAATAATATATAGGAAGTAATCACCTTAAAGTGAATTTTTTGAGTAATTTCCTATACTCCAAAACAGTTTTAGCAGGGCTATCGTCAAAAGAGATAAATATGTATATAGCGACCAATTATAATATGTTTATAAACTACAAATTAATACAATTAGCGCAAGAACCCAATTACGAAGAGAACAAATAACACACGCATACTAAACAGTAACGAGGATATAATACCGAGTCAATAACAAGGATTAGTTATGTTTCACAACTGGTGCAATGTTATGATTGGTAGTTAAATAAAAAAGGTAAGAGTAATAGCCAGTCTAAAATTAAACAATCGTGGGTATTTAATGCAAATATTATTAGCTAATTTGCCCTTATCGATAGAGACTAATACACTGTTTAGCCCTTCCCTCTTGTTTTGGCACTTTTACATTGAACCTATAACCACACCTCGAATCTGACCTAGGACCTTACGATTCCTTGACATGTCGGAATTAGGTGGTTCGCAATCCTAACTTCAGTCAATTCGCAACGTTGTCCAAAAAATTGATGGTATCTGTCTGTTTCCGATATGGTTGAATCCCACCGGTTATGAATTTATATTAGAAAACTCAGCAATTATTTTCCGGATTTAGTGCATTAAGCATGTTGTAATCATAGGATAAATCTAACGTGCCAGTAACTTAAGAAACCTATTTCTTGAGAATTCAAATATACATAACCCTGGTTTCCTATTTTCTACATAAACTGCCATTTTACTAGCATATAATCATATTATAATAGATCAACCATAAAAATGATCGATAAATTAAATAACATTACAATTCTTCATTCCTATGATTCGTTTATAGTGCATTCGTTGAATTGACCAGCTTCTATCACAAATGGTTCAACAAACATGAGATATTAGAAAAAACTTATAAACGATTACTACTGAAAATAAAACTTAATAATCCCACATTCCTTTCTTAGTATTTTGCAAATCGCATTAATACCATTATTAGCAGCACCATGGGACCATTTTTACATAACCGTTCCCAAAGATTATATTTCATAAAACAAATATAACGCCATTCCTTCGCTTACCACTCAGACCGAGTTTAAAATCCAAATTTGCATTAGTGAATAAGTTGAGTCATTTCGCGATGTTTGTGGAGCAGTAAAAAAATTGCGTTACTATAGTAGGTAAAGATATTACATAAGCCTAATTATTATTTTCAGAACTGTTTATCGACCGTTTACATGTGATTTTTAAGCATACTTGAAGACAATAAAAGTTGTTAAATAACTACGGACCAAAATGTATCGGTGTATTGATCCTAGTAAATTGCTTGATATTCATTCTTGATAACAACCCATAATGATAAGGACTGTTTCTAAAAGGCAACAAGCAAATTTTGTCAATAAACAAGAGGTAGCGCTCTAAATGATAGATAATAACCGTGAAATCAGATAGAGACAAATCATTAGGATACAAGTACATTCACCAAGCTAATTCCAAGAAGTAAAAGTAAACTCTTGGAGTCTAGCTGTTGTTCACTTATAATCCTAACCGGAATTCTGTCTTTTCTTAAATAGTACAGAACACCACAACATATGACAATGATATCCATTCAATTTAGCTTGCTCTTTTTCCAAGTAAACTAGATAGCGTCGATCGTTTCTGAGTTAGAAATTGCAGTTTGTCTGACAAGTCGAAGTAGGATGGAACGTCTATCCTGAGTTCCACTACTGGTAGCTATCCAGAAAACGGCAAAAGTTAATAAATATTCTGTCTGCAGTTTCTCAGTATAAACAGGTGTGGATATTATTTTGACGAATTCGAGTGTACAAATCATCAGACGTTCGTAACACCTAGACCGCGATTACAATCCTCAGCCGAAAAGTTATAGTCAAAAATCACACTAACCATGCTAGGCCATAATCAGAAAAAACTCAGTGTCATCGATACTTACTTCAAGTCGCAATAGGTTCCCACCGTGGAAAAATGTATGTTACGGATAACTTACAAAGTATCTAGTTATAATATGGGATCTGCGGTCCACAACCCTGCCACAGTTCACTGAACCGAGGACTTCTGGTCAATCTTAAGCGCTGTCATTATCTAATGATGTACATGTTGAGGTCACGAATGTGCGCTACTGAGGATTCCCATACTAGGACGAGACAGCTACCCAGTGCTTCCTGCTTTCCAATGGTGTAATACCTAAGATCGCCTTTTAATTTAAATCATGAAGAGTATTTGATTAGTCCGTTGCTGGAGTAGCTAGACAATCTACGCTGTATTTGGGGAAGAAATACATGCTGCTGATCCGTCATTTTATGCTGTAAATAAATTCAATCCAGTTTACATTTGTCAATACGACTTTTGACTACCGATACTTGACTAAACAGTCAGTATTCATGTGATTTTAACTTATTCAGCCAATTAGTTACCATTCAGTTATTTCTAACAAAAGGGTGCAATTCGTATCAAAGCAACTTATGTAGTTTTGAAACGAGTGTCTCATTCAGTTATATCAGATGACCATAATATGGTAACCCGTAAAATAGTAGAATGCTTTGTAGTATTAAGAGCTACTAGAAGAAAGATAACAGAGAAAATTTACACTAAAATTTTTCACGCCAATAACGAACTTTGTAACTCTCCCATGGAAGATTGTTGCGGGAGGAAAACATGTTTGGGTGAGAAATTTATTGCTGTTGTGCAACTCTGCCAAACCACAAAGCTTACATGAGACAAAAGTCCAAGACACCTTTGGACGGTAGTAGTTAGCGTTTTGATCAAAGATACTTAGAGCACAGGATATTCATCTTGTTCTGCAGTGGTCAAATAGTCAATTAGCCCATTATGTCGACGAGATGGCACGTAACTAACAACGACTAAGCAACATAACGGCAATCACTCACGAGTGACATTGTTAAGTTGTCGAAAATATTTGATACCCTATCAAAAAGGAATGTCATTTTTAACGCAGAACCTGAACATGCACGCCGTCCCAAGTTGCCACACAATATTGAATTCTTAAGAAGCACGCTATAGTATAAGTATCAGCACTAGGGTAAAAGTTCAGGTGCAGGAAATAAAGGTATAACATTTCGGGATCTTAAGGAAGATACAGTGAATGCACCTTTAACATTGAAGAGGCTTTTGAATCATGTCAGCTAAATTATCTAACCATTGGTTGCGATGCTTACGCAGACGTTATACAGTCGGTATCAAAAGGAATTGATCTCGCGACATTATTGATGCAAGTTAATTTCACTTCCTTAAACTGGTAAGCATTAAGATTCTCTTCAATAAACTTACTTGCCAAGACTATTGGTAGTACAACATACGACATAATGCTAGCCATAACAGAAACAGGTCACCCCACAACAGATTTCCACACAAACATTTGATATTAATCAAAAACCCTACCATGAAATGGAACTAACGAAGTGTTTCGTGAGAAACTTGAAGCTTCCACCAGTAATCTTATAAATCCTACAACGTATTTTTCGAGATTTCTGAAACGGTCTTTGTGGTAAGCACTTGTAACTAGTACACCATACAGTTAAGTGCCTTTAATATACGATCACTTAATTACCTACATTTTTAGTTAAGCCTCCAAATGGGGTTGCTGATTATCAAAATCGTAAACCCTATTACCACTGACTAGCCTTACATATGCACAGATGAGACCACTAGAATGTTACAGCCAAACATTAGTCACGAAACTACATAATTTGACTTTAAAGTTTACAAATACATAACCACGATCATAACGAAAGACTGTTGTCATGCTTATTGTAATTCAAACTTATTTTTAATTTGTTGTTTTACAACTCATAAACACTAAGTGTTATGTATTCTTGAAATGTTCTACATAACAGGAACAACACCAGGGCATACTCGACTGTCGATAAGCAGAATAGGTCGAAATATCAGACAATCATTTATGCATTCAGAAAATGATGCCATCATCACAACTGTATTTCAAGACATTATTTTACTTTTACATATTTAGCTTTTTTTGAAGGAGCTTCGTCAACTTTGTTAGCAGCTTTTCGTTTAAGTTTCCCGTTTTTAATCGCACGCGCAAGGGCCATCTTGAAATGTTTTTCTCCAAGCGCAAATGGATTCAATTTTAGCAACGCCTAGGAAAGATTAGGAAGA